ACAAGCCGCCTGGCGGGGGAGGGGGTTGCGGAGGGCAGGGTGTGTGAGAGAGAGTGCCAGATTTGATACTGTCCCGTCACGGTCCTCAACCAAATGCCTGGCGGAACATCTCTGCCTTGCATGCCCTGTGTCCAGGGGTCATTTTGTAGAAAAAGAGGGGCAGGAGCTCATTAGCATAACTCATTAGCATAACTTATTTGCATATGCCACATACCCTGACATCACCGGAAGTTTGTCAGAAGGCAACACCCACTCTTGAGAGTCCCACTCTTGAGAGTCCCCTGGACTGAAAGAAGATCAAATCAGTCAATCCTAAAAGAAATCAACCCTGACGGTTCCCTGGAAGGCCAGATAATGAAACTGAAGCTCAAATACTTTGGCCACCCAATGAGAAGGGAGCCCTCACTGAAGACCCTGATGCTGGGAAAGATTGAAGGTCAAAGAAGACGGGCACGGCAAAGGATGAGATGGTTGGACAGTGTCATCGACGCAACGAACATGAAATTGAGCCAACTTCAGAGGACAGCAGAAGACAGGAGGGCCTGGCGGGAGCTGGTCCATGGGGTCATGAAGAGTCGGACTTGACTGTGCGACTGAACAACAACAACACCCACTGCTCAGGCTCCACTGGACTGTTTTGGATTGCTAGCTATTGGGTGTGTGGGTGTGTGTGCAGATCTGCCCTCACAGAGGAGGGAGAGCTTGTACCTGAATAAACCTTGGTCTTAAAGGTGCCACTGGACTGTTTTGGATTGCTATCTGTTGGGGGCCTCTGCAACTTACCTGGCTGCTTCTTGCTCTGACTGAGGGCTGCTGGGCGCAGGGGGTGGGGCTTGTTGCATGTGCCCGCCCCCTGGGCTCTTTACTGCCGGAGTTCCGCTCCTGTGCGCTCCTGCAGGAAATGACCCCTGTGGAAAGATAGTAAATTCCACCGGGCACGGATATTCTCCAGCAGAGAGTTCCACCAGGTGGAGGCCAGGGCGGAAAAAGCCCTGACCCTAGTCGAGGACAGTTGGGTTTCTCTCGGGGTGGGGCCCACCCGAAGCCTGACCAGGCTGTAGCTCCTACACAGTCTAGCTAGATGAGGAGCTGGGGATTTGAATGGCACTGTGGCATGGGGCAGACACCCGCTTCATTTACCAGGCAAGAGGCAGAGGTCAATGCCGTTAAGTCGCAGCCGACTTACAGCGACCCCACAGGGTTTTCAAGGCAAGAGGCATTCAGAGGTGGTTTGCCGTTGCCTGCCTTTGTGTTGCAGCCCCGGACTTCCTTGGTGGTTTCTGTTAAGTCGTTCGCTTAACAAAGAAGTCGGAGAGTGATTCAGCAAAGAGATTGCTTTATTCATCAACTCGAACACAACTCCAACACGGATCAACATTAGATAGCCAGAACAGCTTTTGCATTTTGAAACTCTCCCGGCTAATATAGCCACGCCTTTACTGTACATTATCAACCAATGAGATTGTCTTCATAAGGACCAATCGTCTACGTTCCCGCTCAGGGAGCTTGCTGATTGCGATTGGACGGTTCTTCCTGGGCTAGCCATGCGATTGGGTGCATTAGGATCCTAGCCCAGGACGAAGCTTAACGTTGCTTTTCTATGAGGTGATTCGCATACATGTTTAGGCATTCAATGACAGCTATTGAATACACTACAGTTTCCTATCCAAGAGCCAGTTGGGTGTCGAGGTTAGGAGCACGGACTCTAATCTGGGAGAGCCGGGTTTGATTCCCCACGCCTCCACATGCAGCTGCTGGTGTGACCTTGGGCCTGTCACAAGTTCTTTCAGAGCTGTTCTCTCAAGGGTGGTTCTTGAAAGAGCTCTCTCAGCCCCGCCTACCTCACAGGGTGTTTGTTGTGGGGAGGGGGAAGGGGAAGGAGATGGTAAGCCGCTCTGAGACTCCTTTGGTTAGTGAAGGGAGGGGTAGAAATCCAATCTCCTCTTCTACTAAGCAGGGATGATCCTGCTGAGCTTCTGAGAGCTGATGAGACTGGGAGAGCCCTCCATGTCAGGGCTGTGCTCCTCATAGGAGCAACTCATCCAGACACCTGCCAGATGCTCTACGTCCCCGTTCTCTTCTGTATTAGGAGAGGATATTCTGTTCCAAGCATACACACGACTCCTTCCTAGATCCAGGAGAGCTCTTTATGGCAGGTCATTCTGTTGCTGGGGGGGAAGGCAGCAGGGTATCGCCCGATCTTGGCAGCTAAGCAGGGTTGGTACTCGGAAGGGAGACCACCAAGGAAGACTCTGCAGAGGAAGGCGATGGCAAACCGCCTCTTCTTCTCGCTTGGCTTGACAGCCCCTTGCTGGGGTCGCCTTAAGTCGGCTGCCAGTTGGCACGTTCCATTGCTAGCAGGGTGTACAGAAAGGAAAGCAGCGGACCTCGCTACTTCCTTGGATGATGGCGGCTTTGCCCCAGATCATAAATAACAATTGCAACCTACTGGATTGCTCTGTGGAGCTCCTGCAGAGTTTCGCAGGAGATTAAAGAATGGTCTTGGCTGAAGATGGAATTAATCTCCCTCTGTCTTCGGCAGTGGGTCTGCAGTCTCTGTGCTGTCGACGCAAGCCGCAGCCGGCAGAATGAATGGCGTGCTTTTAACGGCTCTTCAGAGTAGAATAATGGCTCTATCGACCATGGGTTACTGCTGAGCCTCATGGTAAAGTGAATGTTAGAAGTCTGTGTTTCCACAGACTAGACACTCTACAGTTCTCATCTCCGGATTCAGCTGCATGAGGTAGCTCAGTCAGAGAGCTTTCTTTACAGTGGCTTTTCATTCAGTAACAAAGATCAGAGGTAGACTGCTGCAATTGGCTCTAAGGGGAGGGCAGCCCTTGAAGGCTATCTGGATGCTGCATCCGGTTTAAGATGCAGCAGCAAGATACAAGCTACTGAGAATCATATTTCTTCAGTTTTAAAAGATCTATACTGACCACACATCTATTCCCAGGAACAGTTCAAAGTGCTGATAATATGCCATAAAGTCCTAAATGATATAGGTTTGGGGCATTAGAAGCAGGAATCCAGCCAGGGAGGCAGTGAGGCCCTTGGATGACCAGGGGGTAAAAGGAGTACTGAAGGATGATAGGGAAATGGCTGAGAAGCTGAACGCATTTTTGCCTCTGTCTTCACTGTGGAAGATGAGAAGTGCTTGCCCACTCCAGAACCGCTGATTTCGGGAGGGGTGTTGAAAAACCTGAGTCAGATTGAGGTGATGAGAGAGGAGGTCCTACAACTGATAGACAACTTAAAAACTGATAAATCACCAGGCCCAGATGGCATACATATGAGAGTTCTGAAAGAACTCAAATGTGAACTTGTGGATCTCCTGACAAAAATATGTAATCTTTCCTTAAAATCTGCCTCCATTCCTGAGGACTGGAAGGTAGCTAATGTCACTCCCATCTTTAAAAAGGGTTCCAGAGGAGATCCGGGAAATTACAGGCCAGTCAGTCTGACGTCGATACCGGGTAAATTGGTGGAAACCATTATTAAGGAAAGAATTAGTAGGCACATAGATGAACAAAACCTATTGAGGCAGACTCAACATGGGTTCTGTAAGGGAAGATCTTGTCTCACTAACCTATTAGTGTTCTTTGAGGGGGTGAACAAACATGTGGACAAGGGGGATCCAATAGATATTATTTACCTTGACTTCCAGAAAGCTTTTGATAAAGTTCCTCATCAAAGGCTCATAAGTAAGCTCAAAAATCATGGGATAAAAGGACAAGTCCTTTTATGGATCAAAAACTGGCTAATTAATAGAAAACAGAGAGTGAGTATAAATGGGCAGTTCTCCCAGTGGAGGGGGGTAAGCAGTGGGGTACCACAGGGATCAGTACTTGGTCCACTGCTTTTTAACTTGTTCATTAATGATTTGGAGTTGGGAGTAAGCAGTGAAGTGGCTAAATTTGCGGATGATACGAAGTTGTTCAGGGTGGTGAAAACCAGTGAGGATTGTGAGGCACTCCAAAGGGATCTGTCAAAGATGGGCAAGTGGGCGTCAACATGGCAAATGGGGTTCAATGTGGCCAAGTGCAAGGTGATGCACATTGGAGCCAAAAATCCTAAATATAAATACACATTGATGGGGTCTGAACTGGCAGAGACTGAGCAAGAGAGAGATCTTGGAGTTGTAGTGGATAACTCACTGAAAATGTCGAGACAGTGTGTGACTGCAATAAAGAAGGCCAATGCTATGCTGGGGATTATTAGGAAGGGTATTGTAAACAGATCAGCCAATATCATAATGCCGCTATATAAATCAATGGTGCGACCTCATCTGGAATACTGTGTGCAATTCTGGTCACCACACCTTAAAAAGGATATTATAGCTTTGGAAAAAGTGCAGAAAAGAGCAACTCGAATGATAAAAGGGTTGGAACACTTTCCCTATGAGGAAAGGTTAAAGCGCTTAGGGCTCTTTAGCTTGGAGAAAAGACGACTGAGGGGTGACATGATCGAGGTTTATAAGGCCTTCTGACACACTTCCGGTGATGTCAGGGGGTGTGGCATATGCAAATAAGTTATGCTAATGTGTTATGCTAATGAGCTCCTGCACCTCTTTTTCTACGAAATGACCCCTGTGAAGAAGTGAGCAGTGACTCACAAAAGCTTCTACCCGGCCACAAATTTTGTTAGTGAACTGAGGCAGATCATGAGAAGGGAGGGCAGGAAGGGTTGCCTCAGTGCTTAGTTCTTGTGGCCCTTTCTTACACGCCCACAGAAATGCTGATCACCACTTTCGGGTCAGGAAACAATTTTTCTCCAGGCCAGGTTGGTCAAGGATCCTGGAGGTTTTTTGTCATCTTCTGGACATGGAACAGGGGTCACTGGGGGTGAGGGGGAGGGATTTGTGAATTTTCCTGCATTGTGCAGGGGGTTGGACTAGATGACCCCAGAGGTCCCTTCCTACTCTATGATTCTAAGATGCTCCTGGACTCTGGCTCTTTTCTACTAAATACAAGCCAGTCTCATGATTCTCGGGTTGGCTGTCATCTGGTTCTGTTGGCTCCCCGCTGGATCTGGGCGTATTCGTGGTCTCTGAAATCCTCCAACTGGTTCTCTTCGGATTCCTCATCGCTCTCCAGCAGTGTCAGCTTCTGAAGCGTGCTTTGAACACTCTGGAGATAAATAGACAGAACTTTGGCTAATCAGGGTTGCCAGCCTCCAGGTGGGGCCTGGAGATCTCCCAGAATTACAACTGACCTTCTGACTACAGAGATCAGTTCCCTTGGCGGCGATGGTTGCTTTGGAGGGCGAACTCTGCAGCATTTTGGCCCACTGAGTCCCTCCCCCAAACCCTGTCCTCCACCCCCAAATTACCAGGAATTCCCCAAACATTAATTGGCACCATCCGTGCTCAGTTATCCTATGTGGCCAGTCCTTGCATACCATTGCCTGGTACCAGGGCTATTTTTGGGCAGGAACGCACAGGAACGGAGTTCCAGCTGGCTCCCAAGTTCGCCACGCCCAGCAGGAACATTAGCATAACAGGCCACACCCAGCAGTAGAAACTCATTAGGATTGGCTACATTAGGGGTGTGTGGCCTAACATGCAAAGGAGTTCCTGCTACAAAAAATGCCCTGGGTTTTGAAAACAAACAAGGTAAACAGAATAAGAAGCAAAAGGTGGGTGTGGCTGGATGAGCACACTTCTGGTAACATGGAGGTGTGGCCTAATATGCCAATGAGTTGCGCTGTCAGAGGTGTGGCCTAATATGCTAATGAGTTCCTGCTGTTGAGTGTGGCCTATTATGCTAAAGAGTTCCTGCTGGGCTTTTTCTACAAAAAAAGCCCTGCCTGCTACAGCAAAAGGCAATTTTTACACAGAGTAGAAACATTATTTTTCTCAAATGTGTGAGGTGGTGAGTTCCTGACTTTTGAAAATGGCTGTACCCCGTGGTCTTCTCCAGTGGTGAGGACAGGCAAACCCCCCCCTCCAGACTTTTCCCCCAATGACCACTCCTTATACGTGTCTTATTTATTTACCTCACTTACACTCCCCCTTTCTTTCCTGTGGGGACCCAAGGTGGCTTATATAATTTCCCTCTCCTCCAGTGCATCCTCACAGCAACCCTGTGAGGTAGGTCAGGCTGACAGTGGGTGACTGGCCCAAGGCCCACCAGCGAGCTTCCGTGAAACCGGTTCTCCCAGTTTCAACACTCCGCTCCACTGGCTCTCACTGTTCTTCGCATTGGTGGCTTCAAAATGCCGACTTTGTCTATCGGAATCTGGTTTTGAAACCGTGGCAGCAATTCCCTTTCTTACCTGGATGCTCGTGGACCACGGGAGACTGGAGGATGGGTTGGTGGCAGGGACTGGCCGTGCCTCATTGAGGGTTCCAGAACTGATGTGGGTTTTTGCTCTGAAATCCTAACGATGAGAAATAATTTTCAGGTCAGTGTCAGGTAGCCCCGTCGTAGATCTGGAATGTGGAGGGGTGCCCTCCTACGTGTTCTCAGCTCTTCCCTGCTCTGCTTCTGTGCGCTGTCTCATGCTTGACCTTGCTGTCTCCAGCTGCAGTTAACTCCGCCGGGAAAGTTAACGGCTTTTGCGCTTTGCCCGCTCACTTCTGCCCCCGCGCGTGAACTGTAATCATTGGCTTGCTCTCACTGGGGGGATGTTTGATTTTACTATAAGTCTGAAGCCCTTATACTGAAGGCTATTCCTGACACAAGCTGTACACGTGTTCTTTAGTACTGGAGCTCCTAATAAACAGTTACCTTCTTATGAAGCCCTGTGTGGTGTGACCTGACTAAGGACCCTGACAATCAGCTCTTCCCCAGCTTGTGGCCTCACACTTGTCCTGTGCATCGTTAAGAGCACAAGAAGGACCCTGGGGGCGGGACAAAATGTCCATCTAGTCCAGCATCCTGCTTCCCATGAATCCCAGGCAGAGGTCTGTCACATCACCTACTATCAGGGGTCATTTCGTAGAAAAAGAGGTGCAGGAGCTCATTAGCATATCTCATTAGCATAACTTATTTGCATATGCCACACCCTCTGACATCACCGGAAGTGTGTCAGAAGGCAACACCCACCGCTCAGTCTCCACTGGACTGTTTTGGATTGCTAGCTATTGGGGGGGGGACATGCAGATCTGTCCTCGCAGAGGAGGGAGAGCTTGTACCTGAATAAACCTTGGCCTTAAAGGTGCCACTGGACTGTTTTGGATTGCTAGCTGGGGGGAGGGAACACATAGATCTGTGCAGGAAGGAAGAGAAGGAAAGAAGGAGGGAAACAGAGAAAGAAGGAGGGAGAGAAGGAAATAAGGAGGAAAAGGGAAAGCAGGAGAGAAGGAAAGAAGGAGCGCTGCTTCTTGCTCCTCATGGTCCAGGGCTGCTGGGAGCAGGGGGCGGGGCTTGTTGCATGTGCCTGCCCCCTGGGCTCTTTACTGCCGGAGCTCCGCTCCTGTGCGCTCCCGCAGGAAATGACCCCTGCCTACTATGCCATCCTTTTAACTAGAGTTGCTGGAGACTGAACCTGGGACCTTCTACATGCCAAGCAGATGCTCTGACTGCCATCTGAGCCATGGCCCCTGCCATACACAGAAACAAGTAAGCATGTTAAATCCACAGGGGGCATGTAAGCTCTTGAAGGCCATATACTATCTATCCGTCAAGGTCAGTGCTATCTGTTCTCACCAGCAGTGGCTCTCCAGAGTCTCAGACAGAGGTCTTTCACACCACCTCCTACCTGGGACCTTCTGCATGCCAAGCAGAGGCTCTGCCACTAAATCACACAGCCCCTCCCCAAACTGGAATTAAGCCAGGACACCTGCCCTCTCAGACATCACACAAAACTGTAGTTAAGATGAAACGTGTTTAATTGACCAAGTTCAGTTCTTGGTTTCTTGGAGCCTCACTAACCATATCAGGTTGAGGGGCTGTCATCAGTGTTCCCTCTAAGCTGAGTGAGTGTGAGCTGGCTCACAGGGTTTTTTTAGCCTCTGGCTCACACATTTTAGTCTTAGCCAGAGGTCATTTCGGGGGGGATCGCGGTTCCCCCAGGTGAGGTACAGGGGGCGGGGCACATGACGAAGCCCCGCCCCCTGCTTCCGGC